CTCCTTCTCTGGAGATATTCAAGACCCGCCTGGACAAGGTCCTGTGCAGCCTGCTGTAGGTGACCCTGCTTCGGCAGGAGGGTTGGACTAGATGACCCACAGTGGTCCCTTCCAACCCCGAACATTCTGTGATACAGCTGGTGCGGTCCATGGCTGGAGTGCGGGAGCAACCTCCTCGCTGTGCGGTTCAGGGCAAAGCTCTGGTTCCTCTGGAAGGAGCACAGTAATGAAAATTCAGCTCTGCTCCTGCAGTCCGCAGCTGCCTGACCTCCTCCTCTGCAAGAGCAAACCTCTGAGCAACAACCTTGTTCTGCCTTGCCCTCTCGCTTACTCATTCTTTCTTATTTTGCGTTTTCGTCATCATCTTGGGGTTCTTTTCATCACTTTGTTTTGTGGGGTTTTTTTTCAGTAAGATTTTGAACACAAATTAGTGAAGCAGTAGCATCCTCTGGAAAGGGCATTATCAAGAATTATGAACAAGTTTGGCCATGCAGCAGCCCTGAGGCAAAGCCAAATTGCCAAACCAGATTTTAAACCCATAATCCAGGTAATGACCTGTCTAGAGGGTCTTGTGAGTGTTATATGCTTGTGATGAGCCAAGGGTTGCTTTTTACTGGGACATAAAATCCTCTGAATGCTTTATTTAACTTTACTGCATTGGATGTTTCTGACTGCCTCTCTCCACTTTTCCTCTGTGAACAATTTCTAAAAGCAATGTCTGGCTCAGTTAGTTTTTTCTTTTTCATTTCTTCTCTCTTACTGAGCCGGTTGCAGAGGGGCACGTGTCCAAAAAACTGTCGGAGTACTGGAGCTGATAGGCAGAGCTCTGGCACCCTCTGGAATTTCTCTTTCGAGCCATTCCTGGGAGTGACCCTTGCGTACGAAGCCTTTGACCGTGCATCCTGTTTGTTTGATGCCATTGCTTCGCTTGCCCTTTCGGCTGGAGACTCATGAATTCCAGCCTGGCATCACCACGCTGGCATCTCACGGCTTTGCACTGAAGTACCAGCCTGTCCCTTCCCTGTCAGAGCCAGGGTTTAAAAAAATTTGTAATTAAAAACATGGGTAATTTGCATAGATAATTACCCCAAGCTCAGGATGATGGTAAAGGTTCAAACTCTGCATCCGTGCAGCTTCACTTGCACACAGGAGATCTGGGTGTGCGGGCTGCTGGGCAGCGGCAGGCTGTGCTAACGTGTGGTGGAATGCGGTGGGGCTGCAGACCAGGAAATCTATAGCGATTTGTCTCGGGCAGCAAAAAGTTGCCTCTCCACAAGACAAAAGTAAAACTCCATCTTTGATGTTTCCTTGTTTGACGCCTGTGAGTTGTATAGTGTGCGAGTAATAAAAGATCAAAGATCTCCCAGGTAAGGATGAGGTGCAACGCTAAGCAAGCAGATGTAGTAGGCACAAACTACTCATACTGCTTTGGGCTAGCACCTTGGTGCAAAATGGTCAAAAAAGCGGATTGAAGGGCAAATTTTCAGATCATGGAGGCGGAGACCTGCCTCGTGGTTTGTAAAAAGTCACACCAGTGGGGTGAGACTCTGCCCCACCGTTGCCAGAAACAGGTACTTTCTCTCCGTTGGTGAGAGCCCCTGGGAAATAAGCAGCCAGTTCTGCGTGTTTGCTGTGATGGGGATTTTGTCCCAGGATATTTCAGTGCAGGTGTGTACTTTCCTGGACTTAGATGGGTTTTAATCCTCAGGGCTGTGTCCAGGCCAGTTGCTAGCAATGCACTGCAGTAAGAGCCAGAAACTACAAATTCCTCTTGTCTGTGTGCGAACACCACTGCAGTGGTGCTAATTGTCACCATCTCGAAGCCTTCAGGTGGCAGCTCCTAACTCACAGCACAGGAATTCACTATGTTAATTATTGCTTACCAGCCGGAAAGTCACCTGCATGCCTCCTCCAGCTCTTCTGGAGTTCTGCACTGCGGTCTCGCTTGCCCTCTGTGCACTTATTTGGAAGAAAATCATTTGACTCCTATGCAGAAGAAAGATATTGGTGTCAGAAAGGCTGGAGTAGTATCCCCACGGATCCTTATCTTCGGAGGCAGTGAACCAGAAAGTGCGCTTTTGTATGGTCCTAAGGGGACCCCGGTAGAAAAGCAAAGGAATTTCTGCTTGAACGTGGTAGAGGGGAAGGGGAGGAGATTAAGCTGGTTTTCAATATGTTTTATTTTATGGCGTTACTCCCCTTGCAAACATGTGACCTGCAAACCCAGCAGGCTGGTGAAGACAAGCCATGAATCATTTACGATCGTTTCATTCTGTATTCGTTAAGGGATTTCTTGGTAGTATTGTGTGTCTTAATTGCTCCGACATCCCCCACTCAGAAATTCAGGAGGCCGAGTTGGAAAATAAGAAAAAAAAAAACAACTCCCTAAATCTGTGACCGGCAAACAAAGCTTCTTTTCACACCCTGCACTTGCTGGAGACATCAAAGAAAAATGCAGTCGTTCCTCCCTCCTTCTGATCACATATTGATAAAGTTTATCTTGCCTGACTCCAGCTTTTAGCTCAACACAAATCCCTCTGAACCAGATGTCATTTATTAGCCTGCAGTGCACCGGAGTCCGGCAGTGTTTGCACCGAAACCTGTGATAGTTCAGCTCTGGGTGAGCCGCAGCACCCATCATGGGTGGCTCCTTCCCGGGATTCGGGGTGCTGGCAGCCGGCACCGAGCCAGCAGCCAGCAGCAGGGCTGCAGATTTACCTGCTTTTAGTGTACTCCAGTTGAATTGCAACAGCCAAGAGGACGGAGGTAAATAAGAAAGTAATTAGAACTGTAATTTGGGGATCTTCCTTGTCGCAGGGACACAGATCGTTTCTTTATTCTCCTCCAAAGGGGTATAACTCGGTAATAATTTTGTCGCAGTGACATTTATGGGAGAGACTTGAAAGGAGCAGAAGAAAAGAAACAAGCCAAGGGACAGCTTTGCCTTGCTGGTAGCATGCATCAAAGCTGATGTGCTTCTGAAATCCTTTCCAAACCCCCCTCAGATCAGCACTTAAGAGTTACTTAATTGACCATCAGAGGGTTCAGAGTTGCTGTTGGCAAGCCCTCGTTACACAGGGCAGGTGATGGGGACCGCGGCTCTCACTTCTGAACCCGTGTGCTCCTCTGCAGAACCTCAGTGGCTGTTCATGCCTCACCTCGGTCCCTGCCGAAAATGCCACCGTCGTTCCCGGCAAATGCCCCAGTCCCGGCTGTGAAGAGGCCTTCCTGACATTCCTCTGCGTGATGTGCGTTTGCAGCATGATTGGGGCCATGGCGCAGACGCCGTCAGTCATCATACTCATCAGGTAGGACCGCTGCCCGGAGGGTGCCGGGAGCTTGCTGGGGGCTGCTTTTGGGGTGGGAGCAGGGATGGGTGGACCATGGGGTGCTGCAGGGAGCCAAGGCACTCACACAGATCCTGGCCTCTGCCTTCTAGGCTGCATTGATTGTCCCCAGATCCATGACTTTGGACTGAGCCTCTGCTCAACCCATCAGAAAAACCTCCTTTGACTAAGGACTAAATTTCAGCCCTGTTGTTTTAAGTGTTAATTAAATGATTTTCTCTCTAAGCCACTATTTCTCTTGGTAGCACCTGGGTCATCCATGGCATGGCCTCACCGACTTCACTGCCTGCACTACTGACCTGCTAGAGACCATACGGGAATTGCTCGAGTAGAGCTTTGGTAAAGTGAGAGTGAGGAGGGTCTGGGCTTGCAAACAGAGAAGATCCCTGCAGGGATGCTGTGAAGAAAGGTGGCACGCTTGGTCTTACCAAGGCTGGGATTAGCATGGGAAGGGAAATACACAAGTGCAGTTTCCAGTCCAGGTAGTAAGGACGTTACAGCTGCATCAGGAAAGGAGGAGAATAGCAGCCATGTGTTCTCAGCACATAATGGCTTAATAAGATACCTTTAAAGACGGCCTGGAGATCATAGAAACCATGGAAAAATGAAAGGCTGCGGCAAAGACTAGCTTTGGTCAGTACCCCCCTGGCTAGAGTTTAACTTCTCTCACCCTGGACCAAGTCCAAGAACATAAGGAACCTGAAAGTCTGAAGGACATCTCTGAGGTGAAGCAATATGAATAGGTGGGCAAAAGTAGCTTATTCAAATAACTGACCTTGTGTTATTTCCAGACACATGGAACATTTCACCTTATGATATACTTATATATCTAAGCCCACATTTATCCAGAATTACGTATCTGTCCAGGCTGTCACTTACTGAGAATAATAACCAGAGGCATAAATAGCAGATCCATTCTGCTGCCTGGAAAATTCCAATAAAATTCAATCAATAAGGTCTGTATTAGAAGCACACTCTTGAGTGGATCTCGGACAGAACAGCTCTGTGAGGGCATGTCTCCCTGCAGGATACAAATGAGATATTCCACCTACTAGTTCATTTCTCTCTTTGCATCTACAGTAGCTAAAGGGAAATCAAATTTCTCATGATAAATATTGTGGCAAAAGTAATTTGAAGTTTGAAGAGTTCTTTGTTCAAGGGAGCTGCCAGCACCTGTAGTATCCTGTACGGAGACGTCTTAGTGTCAACTTCAAATGAGATAAGCCAGTCGCCAGCCAGGAAGAAGAATAGAAAGAAATAAGAAAAGCGAAGGGAATATTAAAAATATTAAGCTCACAACTGTCAGAAATAAGCAATTCACACATCCACATTAGTAAGCACACTCCCCTCAGAATCACTGATAGCCACTACAATGTACAGGGAAGAGCTCTTTGCTGTATACCATGTCATGCTCTCTTGCAACTGCCGTCTTGGATTGCTAAAAGAAAATTTTGGTGTGTGAGTCTGTCCCTGGTGTCCGTGGCAGTGACAAGTGGCATCAGCAGCTCCTATGGTTAGTGTAAAAATGAACTTCGGTGTCTACAAATGAGATGTCTTGTCTAGGCAAGCCATTTGTTCACTGCTGTAGTCAGTGAAAAAAGGAGATGTCTCCAGGTGGCAACTTTTACCTAAGATATGGGGATTGACTTTGGTCTTAAATACATTGCTGTACCCTCAGCAAGTTTGCTGATGACACCAAACTGGGAGGTGTGGTAGACACACCAGAAGGCTGTGCTGCCATTCAGCGTGACCTGGATAGGCTGGAAAGCTGGGCAGAGAGGAACCTGATGAGGTTCAACAAAGGCAAATGCAGGGTCCTGCACCTGGGGAGGAACAACCCCATGCATCAGTACAGGCTTGGGGTGGACCTGCTAGAGAGCAGCTCTGCGGAGAGGGACCTGGGTGTCCTGGTGGACGACAGGTTAACCATGAGACAGCAGTGTGCCCTGGCTGCCAAGAAAGCCAATGGG